TTCAGAATAAGAAAACCTTCGTTCCATCTCGTCAAGAAGACAGGATGTTGCAGAGTTATGATGTTTCGTACTGGTGTTGCAGAGCTTACGGCTTCGTCTGGCGGGAGGGGAGAAGTCAGATGCTTGTCCTATATTGGTGTGTGTGTGCTAGGCTTCCGTTTAGCAGAGCTCTTCTGGTATGAATGTTGAGAACCCACCAACCAAGCAGAGTAAAGATGTTAATTTTAGAGCAGAAGAGCTCTGCTAAACCAGGAACTCTTTAATGAAGAGAAGAACGAACGTATAATATAGTTTAATATTACGGGAAATACCCCGAGACAACAAAGGCTTTCAGAGTCTTCTTAACTCGACCAATCTCACAAAGTAACACCTCTCTAAACTAACTCTACTCAGAGAAAACCAACCCCTCGCTTGCCTTCCAAGGTAACTCTGTCAATCAACAAAACCCGGTTAATTTTCGGTTAACCCCTTTTTGCTCCCCGGAGAAACAGCAAAACTCGACAAAACCCTGTTTACTTGCGGTTCACTTCTTTTTGCATCCTCGAGATTCCAGTGGTGAACCCTAGTATGAGAACTCGTGGCCGCCGAGAGAGATGTATTTCTTGACCCAAATCGCGGTATCTTCTGCACAAGCTTGAGCTAGTGGAGTCTTAAGAAGCATGTCGAGTGTTGCAAACTCGTGTACCGCATCTCTGTACTCTAGCACAGGAGCATCTACATTGACTTTCCTTAGCTCTTCTGAGTAAGCGATGGCTCGGTCTCTCATCCAGTCATGCTCTACGACAATGGTTAGTGTCGGTGGCATGAACTTGAGTGGTGGGCCTCGGCCTGGAATGAGCGGGTTCGCTGCCGGGTGGTCCAAGCTGAATTCTTCTTCTGGTAAGAAGAGCTTCCAAGCGAGAATGCACATGGGTTTGTCGTAGAAGTATGAATTTGCTTGTTTGATCTCGAACTGTGTGGGAACGCTACCGATGAAGAATGGGTACATTAGGAGTTGAGCCACTACTTTGACTGGGTCTAGATTTTGACCTGCTTCAATGGCTTTGCGGGCTACATAGTCTGCTATGGTGGCACCACAGCTCACACCAAGAAGCACACATCTGAAGTTTCAAATTTTGAGAAGGCACAGAACTCACTAAGATTGTTTTTCACCTGAATCACATGAAAGCAATGATCTACAAAATCTTATATAAGCAAAAACAGAAACTATTGCTCCAAACACTCTACTGGGATCTAATTTCTTTATCCTTGGAAATTCTTACACTCAAATGTCCTTAAAATTACGAGATAGCAGCAATCATTCATATATGAAAAAACGAGGCTTTGGTGTGGCATTTGATATGCATGATGAAGCACATTTGACAATACGAAGTGCACATTTCAGGAGTTGAATCTGTATGCAGATGTTTTTTAACCAAAAAAAAAACAAGCTTCCTAAACCCATTCCAAGAAGGTTCCCAGAATCCAAATGGTCAATGAGACCAACAGAGATCCATATATCATGCCAATGGATAAGAGGAGAAGCAGCAACAGAAGTCGCGGAAGAAAGCAAGTGTCTTTTAACAAATTGCAAGACATGATAGACACATATAAAGACTTTTGAGTTGAAGAATGAAGCTGAACCTTGTACCAGTACCAAGAAACAACACTGTATTTAACTAAATCCTTCCACAAGTAGATCAAAGATCATAAAAGACATTACATAGCAGAAAAATTGACACTAAGGTTAGATCTTTAGCTTGAGAAACCTCTATAGACAAGCAGGCACACAAATAGTCAATCATAGACAACACTAAACACCCGTCATTCCTTTCTCGATAACAGACGTTTGTCTCTAGCAAATTCTTGGCTCAGTCACTAGTTTTACTACCTTAACAAGAGTCGAATTTCCCTAAATTTTAAACATAGACAGTGCAAATGGGAAAGACATTGTTTACCTCGAGGGATGAGCATGAGTTGCAAGCCAAGGATCAACCATAGATGCACCAAAAGCATCAACTATATGTTTATTCACTTCTGATTTCTTCACTTCTCCTCCAGGTCGCCTTGAATTCCCCATCAACTTATTACATTCCGCCAAATTCGCCTGCTTCCCTAACCATTTCGACACCTTGAATCCGTCCTCATAGCCGGCCGGATACCGATAGCCGGTATCCGACGACCAAAACAATAATGTCACAATGCTTCGCCATCCTTCTACAAAAGAAATCATTAGCCACTGAGTCATTACTTCCACTTACCCATCCACCACCGTGAAACTGCAACATCACCGGAAGTTTTCGATAGTTTCCAAGCAACGATGAAGACGGTGCGTATCCTCTATACGCCTCAGAGGAACCTAAACCTATAGCTTCAGGAGAGGAACAAGAACCGTAACTGTTCTAGATTCTAACTTAGAAGACAACAACGAATTAGACGAACCGTAACTATTTCTTCTAATAAGAAGATCCGATCCAGCGAGGTTGTTAAGATTACGAGCCTTACCGGAATAATTACCGGAGGCAGTAGTAGATTCGAGCGGCGTTAAGAGCTGATTCAGGAACGAAAATCCGTATGGTCAAAGAAGTTAACGGATCGATATGAATATCTTTGGTTGCGACTCCGTCGGTGCATAAAGGATTCGGAGAAGCGACGGATTCTTCGGGTCGGGTTGTAACACCGAATGGATCCGATGAAGAATCGTCAACGGAAGATTGAATCCGGTTTTGTAAACGGTGTTTTAATAGAAATTTGAAGAAGACACTGTAGAGCTTCACACCAACGCTCGGCATTTTCCGAATTTTGGAAGGCTTGTTTTTCGTGACTTTACAGAGATTGTGGATCCATGTGTTAGAGAGGAAGATGAAGAGAGATTAGGGTGGGAATTGGATTGGTTTTACGGTTTGTGGAGAGTGAAGATTGCTTCAATTTGGAGCTTTGATTGAGGTGAAAGATGAGTGTAATAGAGAGAAGGATTAGACAAAATAAAGCAAACAAGCTTAGGTGGGAAGATTAATAAATTTTTAATTTAAGAATGTGATAT